AGCCGGCCGGTGTTCATGCCAGCTCAGAAGTCGGACACCCGTAAGACGGCCAGTTTCTACGAAACCCGACCGGGTTTCATCAGCGCAGGATTTCCCAGGCCCAATGAACGTCGGCCGGTTTCCATGAAAGCCGGCCGGGTTTTGGTGCCGTAGTTTATTCCGGATTATCATTACCAATTCCAGTCGGTTTCTACGAAAGCTGGTCGGTTTTCAGCTGCGAGAATTTTTCCCAGATTAATCATTCACGAAAGCCGGACGGTATCTACGAAAGCCGGTCGGCGTCGAGCGCCGTAGTATTTTCAAATTAAATCCAGACGAAAGCCGGGCAGCTTTCGTCCATGCCGGGCGTCATTCTCCCAGGGCGAGGATTTCTTACTCCTATTGCCTTCCAAACCGGCTTAATTCACCGGGGTTAGAAATTTACAAGTTCAAACACCCCTATTGCCCACAATAGAGTTAATAGTATGAGTTTAAGGATTTACCCGCAACAGAGTCCGGGTTAGCACGTGTGTCCGCCTCCGTCATCGCATAGACCCTAACTTGGGTCTTTCCTTGGTTCACGGAGGGCGCGTTGCTTGTACTTGGCCTGCCGTGCCCCGTGCTCCCATGAGGTGCTCCTGTACGGTTCCTACTTGTCGTAGTCCTGCTACTAGGTCCTGCACCCATGGCTCGCCCAAGTTGTGGGCAATTGCTCCTCAAGTGCCCCGCCTCCCCGCATTGATAGCATCTCAGGGGATCACGACACTTCTCTGTGTGGTTTCTTTTGTAGTTATTAAACCTTATAATGCTCGAGCCTTGCGACCTCGAGCCTTGCCCTCATGGGCCTTGGTTTCCCCTTGATGGTGGTGCGGGTGTTCTAAAAGACCCACCTCCCCTGTGGTTCCCCTTTTTGCTAGAACCTTGAGGGCCGGTGTTCTCCCATTTTCTCTTCTTCGCCTCCTCAGCGTTTTTCAGCTTTCTTTCCTCCCATTCTTTCTCTCCTTTCAGGCCTTGCTCCACCACTTGACTAAACGTCATGTTAGGCAATTGTGTTGCCCGCTCACGCACGTCTAAGTCCAAGGCATCCCAAAAGTGATTCACCATCCAGTTCTCATCACAAGCATACTCCGGTATGAATTCCGCAAGCTCCCTGAACTTGTGCTCAAGTTGCCTCACCGTATACTTGCCTCCTTGGGTCAAGTTAGTGTACTCTCGCCTCTTCAGATTAACATCGTAATCGGAGTAGTATTGGTTGAAGAATTGCTGCCGGAAATTCTCCCAAGTGACATTCTCACCATACTTCCCCTTGACTCCGTCCCACCACGTGGACGCCATTCCTTCTAGCAACCTCGTTGCTACCCTCATTTTCATGTTCGGAGGCAACTGCATATCAAGAGCCGCTTCGTTGAATCTTTTGATCCACTCGGCCGTAATGGAGACGTCCCCCGTTCCATCGAATGGTTTGCACCCCAAGTCTCTCGCCTCTTTGAGGTACTTTGAGATCCTTATTATTGGGATCTCAGCACCTTGATCCTGTCGGGACTCTACATGTCCCCTAGAACCCACATGGCTTCCTCTTCTTGAAGCCCCTCCCAAAGCACACCTTGCCCGGTGCCTTTGGCGATCTTGTTGGTACTGACGGAGTAGTTCCTCCATCCTTTCTAGAGCGCCATCATCGTTGCTCTCCTCATCATCGTCATCGTCATATTCCCCATCAAATGGGGTCTCAACTGGCTCGGTTTCTGGTTGATACGTTGAATCCTCCTCAGACTCATAAGACTCATTCACTGTTTCCACATGACCGTCACTCACGGTCTGATCTTGGCCTCCACGGCCTTGTCCCCTGGACACTCTAGAAGCCCCCCCGGCTGCCTTGCACAGACCCTCCCGGTGCCCGGCCAGTCGGGTTCCTCCTAGTTACTTTCCCGGTACGTTCCATTTCTGAAAGACATTGAGAATGAGTCATTAGACCTGTATCAAGTGTCAAATGACGGATAGGCACTTAAAGACACCCTTTGGCTCAAATCACCGTCATACCAATTGTTAAGGGTACCATCTTAACAATTAGAGACATTGCAACTCAAGTACCAAAAGTTCCATAAGTACAAAACTTTTTATGCTCATGGTTTTCAAATTCATTTTTCAAAAAGAATTTTGAAGCTTCATTATGATTTTTACTGATTAAGGCTCTGATACCAATTAAATTGTCACGCCCGGACCTACCCGGACACGTCAACAACCCGCCGTACAGTATGAATAGTCAACCACAGTTCAACACATCCATAGTATATTCCATAAACAAACATAATGTAAAAACATTCATTAAAGCAGCGAAAACAACATTACAAGTGCTCAAGCCACATTTGGCAAACTTAGGCGTACAAGCCCCCAAATAATTATTCAGAAAATTTAATATCCATGAGCATTTATATAATTGTTTTCAAACCGAAACGGAGGAAGCACGAACCACGTCTTCTCTCCTGGATATCCCCGAAGCAATGGGCGCTGGTAGCAAGCTTCAACTTCTACCTGAAACTGTGAGGTGGCCTCCCCCGTGAAGGGGAGGTCAGTACTTGGAAGCATTTGACAAGTACAATGACAACTATACTAAGTATAATCAAAGTTTCAATTTCAAAGACCCTCAATCTAGGTGATATTATATTATAGGCCATAACCCTCGGTTACCCCTTTTAAAATTAATATACTTACTTTATATAAAGTCAAGTAGTCGGCCCATGGGCTCATATTCATTTAGAATTTACCATTTTAATTCCCCGTGACTACAAGTCACGCCAACCCCATAGGATTCCCTCGAGTCCCGATTGTATAGAGGGGGCTCGGCCCAACTACATTTCTATACAACCCTTCAACTCAATTTAACACCTTAAAATTGTATGGCAAGGGCTCGGCCCAACTACGTTTCCATACTAACCATAACTTCGTGGCAAGGGCTCGACCCAACTACGTTTCCACGAAGATCACAAATACATGGCAAGGGCTCGGCCCAACTACGTTTCCATGTTAATCACATTACATGGCAAGGGCTCGGCCCAACTACATTTCCATGCAATCCTAGAGTCCGGCCCTAATTTATTTTCATAGTCAAATTCTCAAGCAAATCCTATGCCTAGAATCAATTCACTTGAGCAGCCTTTAGGCCTACCCCTAACACACCTTAGTGTTCATACAATTTGACCCTAAAGTATCTCTTAACACTACTTAAGGCATCTCTATTCACAACCCTATCTCTTAGGATTAATTCCATCATTTATTTATATAAATCTCCCGACTAGTATTTCAATACTAGTCGGATAAATCTTAGAACAACCAAGTTCTTAATTCATAGCCAAATAATTCATCTCAATTGATTTCCAAATCCAAATGTGATTTAATCTCAATATCAAAAATATCACTTTTATCCATTCATGAATTCATTACATGAAGTAAAAGTATATTTTATCACAATATTTTCATAGTTAATTCCATTTTCATGCCATTCCTTTCATATCCCATAATCATACACAATTTCTTCCAAATTTGTATAACATGCTTTATTTACTCATATGCAATGGTATTTTCATTTAGGCATTATTATTCATTAATAATCCATGAAAATCACATCTAATACCTTAGGTAATCTTATGAAATTAACCCAACAATTATAAGCAATATAGTCAGCCACCCTCACCTCGAATGAGCTTAAAGAAGTTATACCCTTATCGGTTGAACTCCGGTGATACTCCGGTGAACTCTGGCGAAACTCCGGCGAAAGTTAGGAACACTTCAGTCAAGCTCCTAACAAGGTTTTATCATCACAAAACCCATATCAACACAAATAACCTCTAAAAGGTTATTTTCCGGCGAACCGGTCATTTGGCTTCTAAGTCCGTTCTTGGACTTAGAACTACCTTCCAAACCCTTGTTCTACACTTCTAAACATGAAGAACAATCCTAGGGGTCCTCAATATGATATATAAATCATAAGGTAACTAAGAAGTAGAGGAAAAGTTAGTATAAGGTCATTACTTTAATTCTTTACACTTTTCTATCTTTTTCCTTCTCCATTCCTCTTTCTTTTTCTTGTTTGAGCTTGGGCTCGAGTTGGCTATGGAAGGTGAGGTTTCAGAGCTCCTTTGCCTTCCTTTCTTGGTGCTGGACGAGTACAATGAATGGGAGAGGAGGGAGGATGGTACTTTTGTCTTTGGTTGACAAATAGGTGAGGTTAGGGGTCCCTTAGGTGTCAAAATGGTCTCCCCCATCCCTTCAATGGATTTCAGCCACAAATAATCTCAAGCCAGCCTCCAAGAGCTGGAAATTTCGTGGTTTGGCCCCCACTTGTGTGGGAGGTCACCCCTTTTGTCCAGAAGTGAACAATCCGTCCCGAAAGTTGTATTTTTCGAACTATTTTATTTATATTTTATTTTATCGGACCAAATAAGATATAACACGCGTTCCTAGTTATTATAGGACTTTAGAATAGATGTACATTCCCCAACTTTAATTTAGGAGTCTCCGAAATTCATTTCGGGCTGGTATCCGGTAAATTACCAATACTGGTATTTGGGTCTCGTTTGACCAACGGGTCAACTCTATGCTCTTTCTATGGGCCTACTAAAATATCCACCACCATATACATATCATCTAGAATAAGATGAATATAATATGTGATCCTGAACTTATCAGGTGGTCCCCGTTCCCGGTGTGGGCCCCACGTGCAATTTACTATTCACGCAAAAGAAATAATAAAAATTCACAATTTCGCAAATTCGTGATTGATTCATCAAGGTTTATTACATAATTTACTAAAAAGTAAATGTGCTCGGGGACGGTGCTACAAATCACCTTTACACGTGGCTGCTCCCCATCAACTTAGACTGTTAGTTTGTTAGAATAGATTGGACACGTGTTCTCTTCTTATTAGATCAACATCTTTTTACTTGGACACCAAGCATTGCCTATTTTAGTATAAATATCACCTTTCAGCTTGTGGAAAGGGATCACATTCCTAACTCTTATAATGTTACTCTACCGGATTATCTGCATGTACTTTCCGATCAGTTCTCTCTCGTTTACTTGGATTCCGACTACCCCGGTCCGGCGATCCATCACAAACAATGGACATTTTTGGACGAAGTTGATGATGAGGAGACTAGATCTACTACTGTTCCCGCCAATCAACCAGCCTGCCCACGTCGCTACTCTTTCCTCCGACCAACAAACCTACTCGTGTTGCTACTATTCCCACCGCGTCACTTGCCACCGATTTTCCACTGCCTACCGTCGATGTCTAAGGCGCGCTTTCTTTCTTTCAGGCTACCAGGTAAAAACATTCTTTTACGCCGATATCCACCAATTTAATACATAAGTTTGATTTTTGTTTCCTTTTCCGTGCTTAGTTTGCTCATTTTCTTACATTTGAGATGGGTAATAAGATATAATTTATTGGTTAATTTTTTGTTTGGTTATTTCTAGAATTTGTTCGTTAAAATTTCTCAGCGAAATTTACTATTGTAAGTTAAACTCTTGTATATAGAAAAGTGAATTTCGTGTGTTTTGTGTGTAAAGTGTGAATGAGCTCATGATCTTACCATGTATCACACTTATTTTTAGTTAATTAGAACTGAAACGATTCAAGTAGAGCCATAAGAGATGTTAGGGTGGACTAATCAGTCGTTGGAGATGTGGTTTTGTCACCCAGAGTGGTAAAGGAGTGTATGATTATCTGTGGTATTGACTCACACTTGAGAGAGACTCCAAGGAAAAATGCACATATTGTTGGTGTGAAGTTTGATGAACTTCTGTGGTTTTGGTGCCTCTATTGATACTTGAATTCTATCACTATAGAATTTTCTTTTCTATAGTGTTTCTTTTGCTAATTATGTTCAGTAAGTTTTTGTCTTTTAATTTGAATGCAACAAAAGACTGGGTTTCAAACTTTTAGATCTTTTGGTGCAGGAGAAAATTAAGAAGAAATCAATGAAACTAGCTTTTCCCAAGCAAGATTTCCCTGACAACGAAAAAGAACCAGAAGTGTAAGTGTGATTTTAAATGATTGCTCAGAAGAATATGATGAAGTAAGCTTATTAAGGGCCAAACTAGTTTCTTAATAAGCTCCATTTGTCTAAAGAATATGATTGCTCAGAAAAAGCTTATTAAAACGAGATCCTGAAGCAACGAATGAACGAAAAGGCTACGGAGGCAACATCAGCCAAGGTAAAGCCGTAAAGGAATAAAAAACTACTCTCCATTTGAAGCAGGTTCAAGAAAAGCTGGCATCAAAATCTTCAGCGATCTTTGGAGAAAGAAGAGCCAGAAATAGTAAGGGTATTATATCTGATAGACTATACGTCTAGAGAGAAGGCAGAGCTAGAGAGAGAAGTGAGTTGTATTAATGATTTTCGAACCCTTACAACTTCTCCCAAGGGGAGTATTTATAGGAAAAAGTGGGTTGGGCTCTCAAGTCTTGGGCTTGGGAGGCCCATTACAATATAGAGCCTCTACTGGGCTGATTACATTAGAAATCTAGTTCTGTAAGTTCCTTCTGGCCAACAGAGACGCTCGACCGACGGAGACATGGCCGACGGAGACGCTCGGCCGATGGAGACATGGCCGACGAAGACGCTCGGCCGACGGAGGCCTCTGGCCAACGGGGGCACTGCCTGACGAAGGACAAGTCTTCTCCTTGGCTTCTAGAGCATGTTTCGGGTTGACTCTTCTTCGGTCGATGGGGTGCCATCTGGCCGACGGAGGGCCCACTGGATGACAATTGTGCTCCTCTTAGTCTTCTGAGTATGTGGGACATGGGGTCTGGACACATATACTCCATCAGGAGTCCCCCAATCTCTGAGCTGAGATGCATACGAAGTGAAAGGGAGTAGATCCTTGTTGTTCTGACGCTTTGGCCGACGAAGGATTACCTGGGAGTTCTAGTGTTCCTGGCTGAGGCGGTGCCATAATTGTTGGCTGCCTTGTCCTTGATTTCGAGGACAATGAATGTCTTTCATTTCGAGGACGGTGAATATCCTTCATTTTGAGGACGATGAATGCCCTTCATTTTGAGGACGATGAATGCCCTTCAGTTCGAGGACGATGAATGCCCTTCATTTCGAGGACGATGAATGCCCTTCATTTCGAGGACGATGAATGCCCTTCATTTGGAGGACGATGAATGCCCTTCATTTCGAGGACAATGAATGCCCTTCATTTCGAGGACGATGAATGCCCTTCATTTCGAGGATGATGAATGCCCTTCATTTCGAGGACGAGGAATGCCCTTCATTTCGAGGACGATGAATGTCCTTCATTTCGAGGATGATGAATGCCCTTCATTTCGAGGACGATGAATGCCCTTCATTTCGAGGACGATGAATGCCCTTCATTTCGAGGACGATGAATGCCCTTCATTTCGAGGGCGATGAATGTCCTTCATTTCGAGGACGATGAATGTCCTTCATTTTGAGGACGATGCGTGGTCTCAGCTGTGAAGGTGATATGACCTCTCTTTGGTCGTCGTTGGCTTTGAGGACGATCGGGGTCCTGGGCTAGAGGACGTTGTGTGCCCTTGGTCTTTAGGACGATGTGTGTCCTTGACATTGAGGACAATGTGCATCCTGCTTTGCACTTCGGCTTGGCCGAAGGGTGACCGCATGACTGTTGGATTTTTGAACTTGTTTATCTTTGCGCTGAAGGCCGATGTAGTCCCCCAGACCTTCCTCTCGCTGATGGAGACATGGCCGACGGAGGTACCACTTGGTAGTCCTTGCTTGCTGTTGCTTTCTGGATGTTTTCATGTATGTGGAGGCCGATGTAGTCCCCCAGTCCCCCACACCTCGAGGCTCATGCAGTGAGGTGAAGAGGAGTAGAGGAATGCACGTCTTCAAATAGGGGGGGCTGAGGGTCGACACCTTTTGATCCACAATGGGGCGATGCCTCGTTAAAAACCTCATCAGGAAAAATCATGTGCGAAAAAATCCTAATGAGGGAAAAAGAGCACACCGGATCCCCCAAAATGAACTTCAAGGGGTGAACCCTTCGGCTTAGGTGTGGAGCTGCAGCGGTGTCCGTCTGCTGAGGGGACGCCCGCCTGGTGGTGAGGACGACGACGCTGATGAGCCGGTCCGAATATGAGGACGAGGCAGTGGACTCCTGTCTGGACATGAGGACGATGATGGTGATTAGTCGTGCTTCATATGAAGGCAACGGTTGCTATCCGGGAGGGGATTAGCGAGCCCGGTCACTATAACAGTACCTCGACGTTGGGAGCCGGTCTCGAGATATGAGGACGACGGGACTGAGGAGTCGGTCCGAAATCCATGCAATGGTCACCATCCGGTAAAGGAATGGCTAAGACCGGTCTTTGAGATATAGAATCACGTGAAGGCCGAGGGGCCATTCGTGACCCGAGGACAACGGCAATGATGAAGCCGGTCGTCCTATAGAGGCGATGGTCACCATCCAGGAAGGGATAGCGAGCCCAATCGCTATAACAAGACTTCGGTGGTGGGAGCTGGTCTTGATGATGAATAATCAAGTCGAGGCCGGGGGCCGTTCGTGATGTATGGACAACGATGATGAGCCGATCGAATATATAATGACGAGACCTTGATCAAGCCAATCGTCATATAAGCTCAGGACTCTCGATGCTGAGGAAGTCGGGCTTGAGATATAGGATCACGTTGAGGTTGAGGAGTCGTTCGTGATCTGAGGACGACGGCGATAATGAGGTCGTTCATCTCATGAAGGTGAGGGTCGCCATCCAGGAAGGAAATGGTGAGCCCACTCGCTAGCTCAAGGCGTTCGGCGCTGAGGAGGCCAGTCTTGAGATAAAGGATCACGTTGAGACCGAGGTGTCTGCTGTGATCTTAGGATGAGGGTGCTGATGAAGCCGCTTGTCGCATGAAGGTGAAGGTCGCTGATAACCGCTTTCGCGGCGTTGTAGTAAAACGGAGTCTAACCTTTCGGTTTTTCCCCGAGTATCGTGTCTCTTGAGGAATGGCGGAGGAGTTCTCTTAAATTTAGTCTTAGTCACGGGCTATCGCTAATTGTTAGAAGCTTTTTCAATACAAAAAGGTGATTGTATTCTAGACTAGGCCAAATTGCACAATTATACTAAGAGCAAATTTCAACTAAAGATTAAAGATTAAATATTCTAAAGTTTAATGAAAAGATTGAGGCAAGTAAGAGCAATAAATTGAGTAATTGGAAATGGATATATTCTTGGACCTAGTAATTAGGGGAATTTAAAACTAAAATTGGACTAATAATTTCTTTTCTCATAGACAAGAATAGAAATTACTTTCATTAATTTATTCTATTTCTAGGTTTCATTAATGTATTCAAAAATGGTTGGTGATAGAGTATATATCTAGAGAGAAGTGAGAGCTAGAGAGAGAAGTGCAAGTAATGCTTCAATAGAATGATTTTGTAACCCCTATAACTACCTCCAGAGGAAGTATTTATAGGAAAAATACGGGCTGGGCTCCCAAGCCTTGGGCTTGGGAGGCCCATTTACAACTGGACCGCTATTGGGCCGAATACAAAGTAACTGATGGGCTATATAAATGAATAAGTGTAAAATCTAGTTCTGCGAGTCCTCCGTGGCCGACGAGGGTCTGGCTGACGAGGGCATGGCCGACGAGGTCATGGCCGATGAGGACACCCTGGTTCCCTGGCTTCGGGGTCATATTCTGAGTCAGCCCTTCTTCGGCCGACGAGGGTCCTTTGGCCGATGAGGGCACCGCGTAGTGGCTTTGTGCTTTCTGTTCTTCTGAGTATGTGGGTCCTGGGGCCTAGACCCATATACTCCATCAGGAGTCCCCCACTCTCTAAGCTGAGATGTAGACGAAGTGAAGGAGAGTAGATTTTTGTGCTTGATGCTCTTGGCCGATGCGGGACCATGTTGGCCGTTCTCTGTTGCGGCGTTCGGTGGCCCTGTTCTGAGTTTGGCCATTGCCTGCCCCTTGATGTGGACGGGGAAGACTATTGTTCCTTTGGTGCGCTTTGTTTGTGGATGATGAGTGTTCTGGCACGAGTGGCCGATGAAGGTAGTGTCTATCCTTGGTTGTTGATTGGTTGAGTTTCCCTTTTGGGCTGATGAGGCCGTAGGGGTTGCGTCTTTGTTTTGGGTGGCCGATGAGGGTACAATGCCTTCCTTTTGGCCGTTGTTGATGATACCATGTGTTTTTTGGACGAAAAGGCATCATGTTGCCCAAGGTTTTGGGGATGATAACATTGTCTGGCCGAGGAGGTAGTTGTAAGGACCTTGGAGCCGTTGTGGTGCATGGACGACAATGTTTCGGGTATGTCATCCTGTATTTTGATTCTTGGTTTGAGAGTGATGTGGTTTCAAATCCGATAAGTGTCCTGTGATCTCAAACCATGCTGCGGCCGAAGGTGCATCACGATGTTATGGACGTTGTGGTGCATGTCTAATGTTGTAGTTATGGACTTAGTATATTTTTGGATTTCTTTGATTTTGTCCTGACTTGCGAAGGCCGGTGTAGTCCCCCAGTCCCCCACTGCTTCAGGCCGAAGAGTGAGTGAGGGGTGAAGGAGTATCTTGAAAACACAAGCCGAAGCGGGATCCTCATACTGCCCTTGGATCCAACCCTTTGGCGATTTCCTGACCAAGGTAACCCTATGGGAGAACCCTTGGACGCATGTCGCTTTCAAAGGGTTATCATCAAGGGTCTGGTGTGAGGGCCTCATTGCCGTTGGGTTCCTTCCCCTTGAGTTATTGTGGCCGTTGTAATGCCTTCCTTTGCATAATATGTGTGGCTGCCTGGATGGCCGATACGGGTGCTAGTTGGGTACCCATAGCCTGCATTGGCCGTTGAATGCCCCTGGCCGTTGTGGGTGGTATTTTCCCTTTCTCCGTTCCGTTAGCCTGCTTTGCCTGTGGGCTATTGATCTGTGGATTGGGCTTGGCCCATTAATGACGTGGTGGCGTCCCGTTGGTGGCCGTTGGTGTGGCCACTGGGAGGGTGCCACGTGTAGTGACCGTTGGGTAGGGGTTCTATAAATACCCCTCTCTGTCCGACGAGAGCTCTCATTTGCAATCTGAGCTACCGAAGTGCTGGCCAAATTTCTAGAGAGAGAAACTTCAAAGCAAGTGTTCTTCGTGTTCTTCATGTTCTTCAAGGTTAGTGTCATCGAAATCTCTCTGTACTTTGTATATTTTGCTTCCTAGGCTAGTGATCTAGTGTTAGGCGTTTGAACGCCCTTAGATCTCAAAGTAGGTTGCCGTAGACTCGAAATAGTGTTTAAGATGAAAGACTTGAACGAAGAGTACTACCCCTACGACGACGAGCCCTCCACCAAGTCCCTTGACTATGAAGTGGTCGAGGAGTTTTATGAAGAGCTTGAGAATCTGAGCTCGTTCAAGTCTGGGGAGCAGGACGAGGAGGACGGTGAGGATGAAGAGTCTGCCTCATCGTCTGGAGGTGGGGACGTAGGGGTCTCCCGAACTGCTGATGGGGCGTCCACGTCGGCTGCCATCCCATGCCCAAAGCCGGTGTCTGTTGTCAAGGGTGTTGCACCGCCGAAGAGGGTGAGGAGGCCGAAGAGGGGGGCAGCCTTCTCTTACTTGGATCTTACGAATATCTTCATCATCGGGCCACAGAGTAATGCGGGTGAGTACCTGGTTGCACAGATGTATGTGGGGCCGTATGGTAGGGTTAGGGCCCCTAGGCCGACAGACCATGTCTTTAATCCACCCCCGGGCTACTTTGGAGTGTACCCGATGAGCTTTGCCAAAGGACTTAGGTTCCCGCTTCATCCCTTTATCACCGAGTACCTAGATATGGTGGGGCTCCCTCCGGCCTTGTTGACGCTGAATAGCTACTCGCTTATCGTCGGTTTCCTCTTGCGGTGTGCTGAGTTGGATTTCAGGCCGACGACGACGCTTTTTATGAACCTCTATCAGATAGGCCGTGGAAGCCACCAGAACTGTGCCTCGTATGCCACTCTCCAACAACTCCCCAAGAAAAGAAGTTTCACAGACCTGCCGACGTCCATCCATGATTGGAAAGGGAAGTTTGTGTTCGTCTCATTGGGTGAAGGGGGCGTGGAGTTTCCCTCCGTTGGCCATAGTAGACGGTTTAATCTGCATGACACGCCGAGGAGCTCCATCTTGGACGCTCAGGTTGAGGCTTTCCTAAAGGGAGGGCCGAGGAGCGTGAAGACGTACATCACCGAGTACAAAATGGCCGCCCTCAGCTTCGTAAGGGACTTTGTGTATGGTGATAATGACGATGATGTGGAGTTGTGGCCGAAGATGACCACATCTTACGAGGAGGCTGATGGTCCCGATCTGGGGGTGCCAGCTGAGGACGATGGTAATACCTTTCTGATGCACTCCTTCTCGTCGTATTTTTACATTTTTTGTTTGCTGACTCTTAGTATTTTTTCTGGTGTAGGTTTTGTCATGGATCGTATGTCCTTCATGAAGAGGGCGCAACTTAAGGCGGCCGAGGAGCTGAAAGCCCAGCAGCCTGGCACTGCCCCTGCGGCCAAGCCCCTTATCCAGCCAAAGAAGAAACGACAAGCCGATGAGGGTCAAAAGAAGTTGACTGAGGCGGGCCTAAAGCCCACTAAGAAGTCGAAGAGGGCTTCCCCCTCTGGTGATGCCGGGACGTCGGCTGTTCCTTCTGGGGACGGAGGGGATTCCAATGTTGATGCTTTGGTGGGCCTCACTTCGGGCCCTCCGTCCACCACTCTGTCCACCGTTCCTGCTGCCGCAGCGGCCACCCGGAAGAAGGGTTCCGGCCGAGAGCTGGTCAAGGGGACCCATAAGCTTGAGGTGGAATACCCTGTCAAGGGGGGCTGTTCAACGAGATCGTTGACGGCCACGAGGTGATCTCCCAGGCCATCCCTGACGAGGACCGGGCTTACTTGAAGAAGCTCGGCCATGTTAAGATGTACGATGGTGGGATGGACCACATCGTCCAAGTAAGTTCTCACGTCCGCTTCGTCTGCGTTTTTTTTATGCACCGTGGTCGTCTAACCCAAATTTTACCGTAGGGCGCCTTCATGTTGATGGAAAGCAACAGGAGGCAGCAAAAAGAGATTGCTCGTTGGAAGCAATTTGAGCAAAGGGTTGCTTCGGCCGACGAAGCGTTGGGCAGCATGAAGAGGCTGCGGCTTGAAGTCGAAGGCCTGAAGAAGAGGGCTGATGAGACCGATCAGTTGGCTGCTGAGAAGGAGGGGGCCCTCCAGCGCTTGGCCGATATGGAGCGCGTCCGTGATGAGGCCCTTCGGCGTGCAGAGGAGCCTGAGAAGGGTAAGGCGAGTGCGGAGCTGGCCCTTAGTGCTGCCGAGGAGAAAGCTGCTGAGGCCGCTGTGCAGAAATTCCTCGAAGTCGGCTGGAAGGACGAGGACCGGCTCTCCTAGTGCTTCGAGGTCGTGGCGGCGAGGGTTGTCGACTGGGTGACCAAGTCCCCTGACAGCCAGGCGTACTGGGAGAAGGAGATGAAAGTCTTCTACGACCTTGGCCAGTACCGGATGCAGCGGCTGCTCTACAGGAGGCTTCAGCGGCGTTTCATGGATTTGGGTGTGGCCAAGGAGTGGGTCGTCGGCCTTGAGCTGCCTTCATTGATGAGGCATCCCGAAGCAGAGTTGGAGCTTCCGATGGCTGATCGGCAGCTCCCAATTGAGAGTTCTCAAGCCAGCGACGATTGGGCCTATGAGCCAAGTATATTTGAGGACACCGCGACGTCAGGTACTGCTGCCGGTGCGTTCGCTGCCCAGGCCGAAGAGAAAGCCAGTGCGGAAAAGGACTCCGAAGCCCCTTCGGAGCCATGATTCCTTGTATTGTTTTTTGACTTTGATTATGTAACGGCCGAGAAGCCCACTTTGTACTTCCTTGTTTTATGAATGAAAATACATCTTCTCGTCTTTCATACTTCGATATATTTACCTTGCGTCTTTTCTTTTCCTGTTTGTACGACGTCCCAGTGTGAGTGTTTGCTTCGTCTTGTTTGCAAAAATACTTAGAGAATTTTTGGAAAATTTCCTAAGTATAAAATGTCAGTCATAGCTTTTAGAGAATCTTCTAAGTGGGCAGCCGATACGGACACCTTGGCCGAAGAGGGTGCCTTCAAGTGTTTTGTGTGCCCGATTCGGCTCGATGTCAAGATACTTAGAATTTTTTTTGGAAAATTTTCTAAGTGTCAGCTCTAATGTTAGGGCTCTTCTAAGTGGCAGCCGATACGGACGTCGGGGCCGAGGAGGGTACCTTTAATTGTCCTGGGTGCCCGCTTCGTCTGAGTGTTTTGAAGTTGTAGTTTTCTCTGCCAGTTACCCTTGTCGGCCACGCCTTTGGTATTTGTGTTTTCCGGAAAACTTTCTAAGTGTTTGAAGTCCACTTAGACGAGTGTCAACTTGAGCAGCCGCCTTAGGTGTAGTGCCTTTAACGGTTAGCAAGCCTTATCGGCCTGGGTTGCGCATCGTTGTGCTTTCTCGGCCGATGTGGGCACTTGCTGAGTGTGTTATCCTTCCCGAGGGTCTTGTCGGATGAGACCAAAATGGGGAGAGTAATGAGTTTGGCAGTGTTGACGTCCTGCCTGTTTGCCTCTTTATCGTTTCACACTTGTTAAAAAATTCTTCCAAGTGTCGGGATTTGGTAACTGATTCCGCTGGGGGCCGCTGACGGCCCTGTATTGTTGGGTGGCCGTAGAGAACCACCAATCTTGTTTCACCCAACCAAGTTAGTTGGGGTTTTGGAGATGCACGCTTCGGTCGTGGCACCTGTTCGTAGTGTAGTCTTCGTATTAGACTGATATGTACTTAGTATTTTTGTGGGGATTTCATTTTTTGCTGCTCGAGGTCGGCAAGTGTGCACAACCGTCGGCTTCTCGCTTTTTTTTTGTTCCCTATTTCGGGTAGTGTCCTTCTTTCAGGCTTCGGCCGAAGGGGTCGATGGCCCTTTGGTCGGTTTGGACTTCGTTTATAACGTCCATGATCTCAGGGGGGGGGTCCCGTTGCCTATTTATGATGCGGGCTAGAATTTTGGTTGATTTCCAACGGCTGCCGTTGCCCAACCCTGAGTTTGGGGATTTTGTCACCTCGGCCATGGTTCCAGGCCTGTCGTCCTGCGATCAAGCGCGTGGACGACGCGATGAACTTCCCGTTTCAAGACGCGGGCCATTTGCGGGCCCATCGCCCTGGGGACGTCGTCGGTCCTGCTTGAGTGTTTCGCTCCAAGGGGCCGGTACGACGTGCTCTTTCAGCTAGGCCTAAACCTTTTGCTGATACAAAATACAATGGAGCGTACCTGAGCTTTTCGCTCTAAGGCTGTAGATGCAAAACGCCACATCGGCCATGCCTGAACCTTTCGCTCTAAGGTGGCCGATGAGGGCGCCCGTTAGTGTGCTCAAATTTCAAGAAATCAAAGGAAACATGATTTTTATTCATAAGTGGCTCAAGGCCGAGGGTGGTGTTCAGTCAATAACCCGTCAAAGGGTGAGGGCTTCGCCGGCTGCACCTCCTTCGGATTATTGATAAAACTTCACCAAATGGTGTACATTCCACGTTCATGGTACATCGATCCCGTTTGGGCGTTTAAGCTTGTAAGTGCCGGGTTTCACCACGGCACTGATGATGTAGGGACCTTCATATTTCAAGGCTAGCTTGCCTCCTTCCGTCGGCTGACTTGCTTCCCTTCGGCGGAGGACGTAGTCCCCCACTTGGAATTCTCTGGAACGTACCTTGGCGTCATAGTATGATTTCACTTGACGTCGGTAGTTCTCTGCTCGGATGAATGCCTGTTCACGTCTTTCGTCGACCAGGTGGAGGTCGATTTTCATGTTTTCCTCGTTGACCTCGGGTTTATACTGCTCCACCCGTCGGCTAGGAATGGTGACTTCCGTGGGTGCCTTTGCTTCAAAGTCGTAGCATAGGGCAAAAGGTGTTTCACCCGTTGCCCTCCTCGGCGTAGTACGATAGCACCACAGGATGTTGGGGAGCTCGTCGACCCAACTCCCTCCTGCGTCCTGTAGGTTCTTCTTCAGTCCCTCCATTATGGTTCTGTTGGCATTCTTAACCTGCCCGTTGCCTTGAGGGTAGGCAACGGAGGAGAAACGGTGCTTTATTCCCCACTCTCGAAGGAGCTCCTGAAAGGGTGCCGCTTCGAACTGGGTGCCATTGTCGGATATGATCTCTTGGGGGACACCAAAACGGGTGAGAATGTTCTTGTGGACGAACTTCTGACACCTAGCCCCCGTGATGTTGGCCAAAGGTTCTGCTTCGACCCACTTGGTGAAGTAGTCGACTGCGACGATGATGTAGCGGTTGTTGCCAGCAGCTCTGGGTAGGGGGCCGACCAGGTCAATCCCCCATCTCGAGAATGGAATGGCAGTGCTGACGGGGGCATAGTTGACGGATGGCCGACCAGGGGCCTTCTGGAGCACCTGGCACGTGGTGCATTTCCTGGCTAGATCCGCACAATCCCGCGCCATCGTCGGCCAGAAATAGCCCTGGACGACGAGACGCCGGGACATACTGAAGGGGCCGTGGTGTGAGGAGCAAACACCACAGTGAACTTCTTCCATGGCCACATCGGCCTCGTCCTGGTGTAGGCACCGGAGGAGAGTACCATTATAGGATCGTTTGTAGAGTTTGCCATCTTCAATAGTGTAGCTTGGGGCCCTGAGCTTGGCCCTCTCCTCGTCCTGGGGTAGTTCCCCTGTCATGATGAAAGTGGCGATGTCGGAGATCCAGTCCTCCGGTCGCTGTTGGATCCACAAGATGGGGCTGGCATGGATGCTGGACATGCTCAGTTCCTCGATCTTGGCTAGCTTGGAGATGTGTTCCGGAGTGTCCAAGCTGAGCTTGGAGAGGATGTCGGCCTCGGCGTTCTCGGCCCTTGGGATCTGTGTGATCTCGTGGGTTTCGAACGCCTTCAGCAACTCCTCTGCCGCCTGCTTGTATTGCTTCATCCGGCCTTCCTTTGCTTCGTACGTACCCTCAACCTGGCCCACTACCAGCTTGGAGTCGCACCTGATTTTGATGTGCCTGGCTCTGAGGCCGGCGGCGAGTCTGAGGCCGCTGAGGAGGGCCTCGTACTCAGCTTCATTGTTGGATACCCTGAAGTTGAAGCGGATGGCATAGTAAGCTCTGAATCCTTCAGGGGATATGAGGCCGCCGCCGCCGCCGCATGACTTCGCGGCCGACGAGCCGTCGGTGAAGCGGATCCATGTGTCGTCAGGCTCTGGCCCGGGGGTGGTAGCGGTTGTCTCCCTTGCCGTGCATTCGGTGACGAAGTTGGCCAAGGCTTTCCCTTTGATAGATGGCCTTGGCTTGATCTCAATCTGAAATTGGCTGAGGAAGATCGCCCATTTCACCATCCTTGCGGAGCTAGTGGGGCTCCTCATGAGTGCGCCAAGGGGCTGCTGGGTCAGTACATGGACGGCATGGGCCTGGAAGTAGTGCCCCAGCTTTTTCACCGTATGGACGATGGCTAGCACCGTCTTCTCAATGGGGGAGTACCTGAGCTCGGCCTCCCTAAGTGCCTTGCTGATGTAGAAAATGGCCTTCTGCACCCCCTTCGTCCTCACGGATGAGCACAAAGCTGATGGCCGACGTTCTCACCCCCAAGTACATGAAGAGGGTTTCGCCGGCTTTGGGCTTGGAGAGCACTGGTGGGAACGAAAGGTACCTCTTCATCTCTTCAAACGCTTCCTGGCACTCCGTCGTCCATTTGAAGTTGTTTGCCTTGCGCATGATCTGGAAGAAAGGGAGAGACCTCTCGGCTGACTTGGAGAGGAAACGACTCAGGGCCGCCAGTCGCCCTGTCAGCCGTTGCACCTCTTTGATGTTGCGGGGTGGCTCCATGTCGATGATAGCCTGTATCTTCTCTGGATTTGTTTCAATGCCTCTCTGACTGACCATGTAGCCGAGGAATTTGCCGCCTTGGACGCCAAAGGCGCACTTCTTGGGGTTGAGGCGGAGTTTGAACTCCTTCATGATTTCAAAAATTTCCCGGAGGTCATCAGCATGTGTGGTGGCTTGCCTGCTCTTGACAATCATGTCATCGACGTATGCCTCCATCGTCCGGCCGAGGACTGCTCTGAAGATCTTGGCCACCATCCTGGTATAGGTGGCGCCGGAGTTTTTGAGTCCGAAAGCCATGACGAGGTAGCAAAAAAATCCTTCCGGGGTCATGAAGGTCGTCTTTTCAGCGTCATCTTCATGCATGAAAATTTGGGGGTACCCTCTGAAAGCATCAAGGAACGACATCTACTCGCATCCCGCCGTCTCATCCACCAACTGATCAATGTTGGGGAGAGGGAACGGGTCCATAGGGCACGCCTTGTTCAGGTCAGTGTAATCAACACACATTCTGAATGTCGGCAGTTTTTGGGCGAGGACGACGTTGGCTAGCCACGTCGGGTACTTCACCTCCTTGATGTAGTTGATTGAGAGGAGCATGGTGACCTCCCTTTTGACGAAGTCCCGCCTGTCGGTGGATAAGTAGCGCTGCTTCTGCTTGACAAGCACGGAGGCTAGATCGACGGTCAGCCGGTGGGTGATCACCTGTCGGCTGATGCCTGGCATGTCGTCCGGGCCCCACGCGAAGATGACGGTGTATGACCGTAGGACGAGGAGGATGGCGTCCCGCTGGTCCTGTGGGAGTTGCTTCCCGATTTTGAGGACCCGCTCCGGCCGGGAGGTATCCAGAGGGACTTCCTCGACCTCCTCGGCCGGTTCGGCATGCGGCCTTTCCTCGTCCTTGGCAGCGGCCGCTGTGATTGTGTCTATTCTCTGTCCTTCCCTCTCGGCCAGCCTTGTTAGCTTGAGGTAGCATGCTCTGGCTATCCTCCGGTTTCCTCTGGCGTAGCCGATGCCGCCATTGGTGGGGAACTTCGGACACAAGTGTTTCATGGAGATGATGGCCTCCAAGTCCTCCAGCGTGTGCCGCCCCAAGATCAGGTTGTGGGCGCACTGGAGGTTGACCACCATGAACTCCATGCTAATTTTGGCGCGGTGGGGGCCGTCGCCGACCTCCACGGGGAGTACTATCGTGCCCTCGGCGTCGATAGAGTCCCCGGTGAAACCGGACAATGGTGTCTTGATCGGCTTCAGCAGAGCTTTGTCAAGCTTCAGCTGCTTGAAAGTGTCTAGATACATCACGTTGACGGAGCTCCCCGTATCGATGTAAGTATGGTGGATGATGGAGTCACCGATCTCACACCGGATGATGAGGGCGTCCCTGTGTGATTCCGTACCCGGAGGTAGATCTTTGTCGGTGAAGGTGATCGCCTCCGTTCGCTGCTTCTTCAGCTAGGGGGGAACGTGGGACACCTCCCCAATGTAAAGGGATTGGGCCCATTTCTTCCTCTGGATGACGGAGTCCCCCCCCCCGGTATTCCAACCTACGATGAGGTGAATATGGTTCTTCTTTGGTGGAGGCTCTTCAAAGTCCTCGTCGTCGCTGAGCCTGCCGATCTCCCGCTTCTTCGTAGAGGGTTCGCCCCCAGGTTTGCCGGTGTTTACCCACGTATTTTTGCGCGGGCCACCTTTAACAAATTGGGAGAGTTCCCCCTGACGAATAAGGCGCTCGATGGCTTTCTTCAGCGTAATGCAGTCGTCGGTGTTGTGCGAGGAGTTCTTGTGAAACCGACAGTATGTGCCGCCTTGCTGGATGGCAAGAACCTCCTCGGCCGGTCGAGGAGCCTGCTCAATGAGGCCATGCTTCTCGGCGTAGTCGAAGATGGTGCTGACCGGGTGGGTGAGGGGGACCCCCGGCCGTTCCAACCTCGGCCGCCAGTGGCGGTCTTTCTTGCTTTGTCCACCAGAGCCGTGACGGCCCTGGGCACCCTGGCCGACCGGGGATGGTCCCGGGGCCGGCGAAGGATTTGTCTTCTTGAAGGGATGACCTCCCTCTTTTTTGTGGTTGTGGAGCTCGTCGGCGTCGGCGTACAAGCTCCCGCGCTGAAGCGCCTTTGCATACGACCTTGGAGGGTCGGTGATGAGGCTCCTGGCGTACGGGGAGCTGTGGAGGGCTCCCTGGTACAGGACGAGGAGGGTGCACTCTTCGGCCCCCTCGACCTCTTCGGTCTCCCTCCTCCACCGATCAATGAATGACCGGAGGGGTTCGTCATGTTGCTGCTTGACGGAGAGGAGATGGGTGAAATACTTCTTCACACGTTTCCTCCCGGCAAAGTGGGTGAGGAAGCGCTGGGCAAGGTCTTGCCATGAGTCAATACTTCCTTCGGGAAGTGTGTTGAACCACTCGTACGCCGGACCCTCAAGAGTGGAGAGGAACCAAGGTTAGAGATATTCGTCTGACGCGTTCACCATCAACATGTTATTCTGGTAGCGGCTGAAATGCTCCTGGGGGTCTGATCGGCCGTCGTAGGACTTGATGGCGTTTCCCCTGTACTTCTCCGGGATGGGGGCCGAGAGCACCCTGTTAGTGAAGGGGGTCCTGGTCCTGACCTGGACGACGGGGTCACCTCGCCCTTCGGCCAACTCCCTCTCAAGAGCGCTGACCTTGTTCATGAGAGCGTTGAGGCCAGGATCGTTGGAGGCGCCGGCCGTAGGGATGTTTGCCGATTGCCTGGCCTCCATCTGGGCCAGCCTCCTTTCCAGCTGGGCGATGACCTTGTCCCGGGGATCCCTGGCGGCCGCAGCGGCGCCCTGCTGGTTCTTCATGCGCTCATTGTGGGCCGCATTGATCTGGTGGCGCACGTCGTCCTCGTGCGACTTTCCCTTGCCCTTGTCCAGGCGGGGCTGGTCCACTGTTCGGGACACAGACCCCAAGCTTTCTCTAGGCGAGCCAGGCCGACGCTCACCAATCCGCCCCGCCATCCTCTCCGAAACCGGACGACGGCGCGTGTCACCTAGCCTATTGAAGGCAGAGGTTTTTCCACGCGCTGGGGTCTGCCTCGGCCGAAGAGGGGAAGCGGGGTGGGAGTGGGATGACGCCGTGTCCTGGGCCATCACCCCCTCACCGTTGCCTAACCTGGCGGCCAACGGTTGGGGCTGAGGAGGTGGAGTGACGTTCCCCCCGGTCCTTGGCAAGAGTGTGCTGAGGACGGTGGGGTTCTGGGCCAAGCTGGCGATGATGACCGACAACGCGGCCTGGACCTGGCCAAGTCGGAGAAGCCGCGGCCATAGGCTGGGCCGGGACGTGGTCTGTCTTCTCCGCGCGCTTCTTTTCTTGGCCGATGCGGGCGTCAGGGCCGCCGCCGTTGAGCTGGTTGCGGAGGTCCGTCGTGAGGTTGATGGCCTCCTGGAAGACGTCCCCTCCGCTGACCTGGTCGGTCGTAGCGTCCTCCTCATGCTCCCTGGTCTCCTGATCCTCAGGGATGGCCTTGCTGACGAGGTTGCGGTTTGACTTAGTTCTTCCCATTATCAGTGGTTAGCTGTGCTTGGTAGCGACGAAGGGTGCTAACTTGATTGTTCTAGCTCTCGACGAGAGCACCAAATGATAGAGTATATATCTAGAGAGAAGTGAGAGCTAAAGAGAGAAGTGCAAGTAATGCTCCAATAGAATGATTTTGTAACCCCTATAACTACCTCCACAGGAAGTATTTATAGGGAAAATACGGGCTGGGCTCCCAAGCCTTGGGCTTGGGAGGCCCATTTACAACTGGACCGCTAATGGGCCGAATACAAAGTAACTGATGGGCTATATAAATGAATAAGTGTAAAATCTAGTTCTGCGAGTCCTTCGTGGCCGACGAGGGCACGACCGACGAGGGCACGGCCGATGAGGATACCCTGGTTCCCTGGCTTCGGGGTCATATTCTGAGTCAGCCCTTCTTCGGCCGACGAGGGTCCTTTGGCTGACGAGGGCACCACGTAGTGGCTTTGTGCTTTCTGTTCTTCTGAGTATGTGGGTCCTGGGGCCTAGACCCATATACTCCATCAGTTGGCTTGCCTTAAATTCTAATCTCATAGACAAGGCAGAAATAATTCTCCAAAATTTTAATTAATAAAAATAGCCAAATTCATTAACTAATCAAATTCATTATTTAAGCAAATTGAATTTATTTCTCATAGACAAGATGTAAATCCATTTCATTAAAATTATACTATTTCTAGGCCTTATTAATGTGCTTGAATAAAGTTGGCTCAAATTATTTTCTAATCTCATAGACAAGTTAGAAATAATTTTCCAAAATTTAATTAATGAAATTGGCTAACAATTATTAATTACTAATTCATCAAATTAAAATAACTAGCTCAATTAATTAATTTTAACCCCTAATTTTCGTCTAACAAGTCAATCCATATTCCTTTACTCAATTCATGCCCAAAACAAATTTAGCTACTAAACATTATTTTTGCATTCAACAATATGGTAAATAAATTAAACATTAACAAGGAATTAAACATGTATAATAGCAAAAATTAAACAAATATAAGATATTGTCAAAATAAACTTTCTGAAACTACAATATGACTTTCTGGAATTTTTTACGAATTTTCAAACCTAAAATCCAATTTTAACAATTAATTAATAATTTTCCCACTTTTAACTATAAAATACAAAAGGCAATTAAAAATAGGCTAAATTCGTTCTAAATTTTCTATTGACTACTTGGGGTGATATTACAGTGAAGTAAACTGGAATTAGGGCCGAGACTATTTTTTTTCTATTTTTGTGTAATTAATTTAATTTATGCAATAATAACAACTAATTACCGAAATTAATAAAAAATTACTTGTACTTCGTGAAAATTAACTTTCTTCAGATAAATAACAACCTTGAGGCTAGTGAACAACTATATAATTAATTGGAATGAATTCAACATCACCAACTATTTTATTTAATTTATGGAAGAAAATGCGAAATACTAGATAAATATTCTGGGAAAGTTCGAATAACAGATCGAGAAAACAAAGCACAGATTCAGATTCTACTCGTTGAGAAGATGAAAATACATATAAAGAACTTACAATTTGAAGCTAAAATGAAGAAGATATGGAGATTTGAAGTTTCTCTCTCCAAAAAATAGCTTGGAGCTCGGAAATGGCTGAAGAACTGGACCTTTTTGAACTGAATTAGGGTTGGAAGAGGTGTGTTTGAGTTCAGCAAAAATCGGGCTATTTATAGGGCAAAAAATCTCGTAGGCGGTCCAGCAGGCGGCCGCCTGCCGTACCTGTCTGGCCGCCTGCCGTCAAATCCCACCGGCCGGTGGTTGGTTTGTCGCCTTGTGCCGCAGGCGGTCATCGAAGGTGGCCGCCTTCCATCCAGTGTCGGCCGCCTTCCGTTTTTTGCCGGTCCGGTCAAATTTCATAAAAAGTTGACTTTTTTCAAACATCGGTAGGTGGCCAGGTAGGCGGCCAATCTGGGCGCCTATTTGGGCGCCTGTGAGGTTTTTTGTCCGTCTTGTTCTGTATTTTGTGCTCTTCAACTTTCCCTTCTGGACCACTTTGAAATTCTGCTTCCTTCTTTCGGTATGATATCATTTGTCACTCAAATTGACGCATTTTGTGCTAAATTGACCCGAAATTTCATCAAACATATCATGGATGTGATTTTTACCTGATTTCACGAAACTTGAACCAAAATATATAAAACATGCCTTGTTTTTCTGTTTTTCAATCCAAAATCACTTAAATTTGATAAGAAAAATAAGTACAAAAATGGACTTATCAGTCGCCATCCAGGAAGGGAATGGCGAGCCCGCTCGCTGGCTCAAGACGCTCGGTGCTGAGGAGGCCGGTCTTGGGATAAAGGATCATGTTGAGATCGAGGGGTCTGTCGTGATCTGAGGACGAGGATGCTGATGAAGCCGCTCGTCGTATGAAGGCGAGAGTCGCCATCCAGGAAGGGAATGGCGAGCCCGCTCGCTAGCTCAAGACGCTCGGTGCTGAGGAGGCCGGTCTTGAGATGAAGGGTCACCTTGAGACCGTGGGGTCTGCCGTGATCTGAGGATGACGGCGGTGATGAAGCCGCTCGTCGTATGAAGGCAAGGGTCCCCATCCAAGAAGGGAATGGCGAGCCCGCTCGCTAGCTAAAGACGCTCGGCGCTGAGGAGGCCGGTCTTGAGATGAAGGATCACGTTGAGATCGAGGGGTCTGTCGTGATGTCAGGACGACGGCGCTGATGAAACCGGTCATCTGAAGATGAAGGGCGGCACCGGGCGCCTGTCCTCTGAGGATGACAGTGCAGATGAGCCCGTCTGAAAATGAAGGGCGACGTTGGACGCTCGTCTGATGATGAGGATGGCTCTGATGAAGTCGTACATCTTGTGAAGGACCAGGCTTTTACGCTGGTTTGAAGATGAAGGGAGGCGTCGGACGCACGTCCCTTGATGATGATGGCGTTGATGAAGTCGTACGTCATGTGAAGGACCAGGCTTTGACCTTGGCTTGAAGATGAAGGGTGGCATTGGACGCCCGTCCCCTGATGACGACGGCGCTGATGAAGCCGGTTGTCTGAAGATGAAAGACGGTGCTGCACGCTCGTCTGACGATGAGGATGACACTGATGAGCCGTCTGAAAATGAAGGACGACATTGGACACACGTCTGATGATGAGGATGGCGCTGGGCGCTCGTCTGAAGATGGACAACGCTGGACGCTCGTCCCCTGATGACGACAACGCTGATGAAGTCGATCGTCATATGAAGGACGACGTTGATGACGTTCGTCCTTTAATGAAGGATGGCGTTGGACGCCTGAAGATGAAGGACAACGTTGGACACTCGTCCCCCGATGACAACGGTGCTGGTGAAGCCGTTCATCACATGAAAGACTTGGCTTTTATGTTGTCCTACAGTTGGACGGCGCAGGACGCACGTCCTATGATGACGACGGTTTTGATGAAGCCGTTCATCATGTGAGCTCAAGGCTCTCAGCGCTGAGGAAGCTGACCTTGAGATAAATAATCACATTGAGGCCGAAGGATCGGGCGTGATTTGAGGATGACGGCGATGATGAAGCTGGTCCAAATAAATGGTGACGAGGCGTTGATGAAGTCGTCCGTCATGTAATCTCAAGGCTCTCGGCGCTGAGGAAGCCGGTCTTGAGATAAATAATCACGCCGAGGCCGATGGACCGGGCGTGATTTGAGGATGACGCCGATGATGAATCCGGTCCAAATAAATGATGACGAGGTGTTGATGAAGCCGTTCATCATGTAAGCTCAAGGCTCTCGGCGCTGAGGAAGCCGGCCTTGAGATAAATAATCACACCGAGACCGAGGGACCGGGCGTGATTTGAGGACGACGACAATGATGAAGCCAGTCCAAATAAATGATGACGAGAAGTTGATGAAGTCGTTCGTCATATAAGCTCAAGGCTCTCGGCGCTGAGGAAGCTGGCCTTGAGATAAATAATCACGCCGAGGCCGAGGGACCGAGTGTGATTTGAGGATGACGGTGATGATGAACCTGGTCCTTTGATGATGGACAAAAGCGTTCAGACGCTTGCCTGAGGAGTAGGGACGGCAAAGCCGGTCCTATGATAAGGGACCAAGATTGGACGTTTGTCTGATGATATGGGAAAGTGCTGGGCGCTCGTCTGAAGATGAAGGACGGCGTTGAACGCTCGTCTGAAGATGAGGGACGGTGCTGAAGAAGCCGGTCCTTTGCTTAAGGACGAGGCGTTGGCGCTCGTCTGAAGATGGACGGCGTTGGGCGCTCTTCTGATGATGAGGACGACACTGATGAGCCGTCTGAAAATGAAGGACGACATTGGACGCTCATCTGATGATGAGGACGGCACTGATGAGCCGTCTGAAAATGAAGGACGACGTTGGACACTCGTTTGAAGATGAGGGACGGTGCTGAAAACACTCGTTTCTCATGATGACGACGCTGATGAAGCCGACTGTTGTATAAAGGACCAATCTTTGAAGCTATCCTGAAGATGAGGGGCGGCATTGGAGGCTCGTCCCCTGATGGCGACGACGCTGATGAAGTCGGTCGTCTGAAGATGAAGGACGGTGCTGGACGCTCGTCTGATCCGCATGTATGGTCTTGCTTCGTCCATAATGCATAGTATTTGCCTGATATGTACTTAGCCAATTACGTGGCTCGATTTGTGGGGATTTTATTTTATCGCTCGAGGCCGGCGAGTGCGCGGTCCTTGGCTTCCCTCTTTTGATTTGTGGGGATTTCACTCGAGGACGGCGAGTGCACGGTTCTCGGCTGTCCCTCTTTTGATTTGTGGGGATTTCACCGAGGCTGGCGAGTGCACGGTCCTTCGGCTTTCTATCTTTTATTTCTTCCTCTTAACTTCTTTGAGCGAGGAGTGGGTATCCTTCTTTCAGGCTTCGGCTGAGGGGGTTGCTATTCCCTTGGCCGGTAAGGAGTCCTACTGGATCGTCCTATGATATCGGGGAGGTCCCGTCGTCTATTTACGACGCGGGCTTAGGCTTTTGGTCGGTTACCGACAACTGCCGTTTCCCAACCCCGAGTTTGGGGATTTTTGTCACCTCGGCCATGCTTTCAGGCTTGTCGTCCTGCACAAAATCAACTCAGTCCTCACTAGCTTCAATTACCCGGTGAAGAATCGTCGTATGAATTGTAGCCAGTTTCTTCTGTCACAGGCACAAAATCAACTCGGTCCTCACTAGCTTCAATTACCAAGTCCCGGTCTTCACCATCTTCAACTACAAAGGGTTTTTCAAGTTAAGATGGAAAGCAAGGGCGGTGGAGATGATGGGTTTAGGGAGAGTGAATCAGGCCGATTTGGAGATGGAAGATCAGAAGATGCACTCCCATACTATTTCGTAAAATATACAGGTTGCTCGGTTGGTGGTGTCAACAAGATAACGAGATAATGATGGATTATTTGGTAATTTAATATTTTAAGTAGGGATACATTTGTCATATATTTACCTTTCACTTTTCAAATTTAGTACTACGTATGAAACAGAAATAGTGGTACGACCAAAATGAAAAAATGAGACAAATGTAGATGAATAAAGGGAGTACTACATTATACTGTCATGATAACTTAATTTTAAAAATTGAACATAAATTACTATGATTAAGTTACTGTTATAGTCTTTAATCGCTTTTTGTGAACAATCTTTATTTTAGACATGAATATGAGATTTTTAAGAAATAATTTTGAAAAGGTAATATTTACGTAAATAGGGTCGGCTTAAAAGTATTTACGAAAATACTGCTGGGTTGACTATGATATATGAAAACCAGCAAACGGAATGGCGACTTATAAGTTGTCAAACGGGATGACGACTTCCTTTTTAAAAACAACGGACGCACAACAATCGCAGCAGACAGACGCAAACAAAATCCCCAAATCCCCTGTGGCGGAATTTCGAGTGTACCAGCGATGACGGAACGACCATGCCTAATCCAACTTCCAAGGATACACCGAATCCATCTTCTTCAACATTCTTTCCTCCAAGTAAATCAAATCTCCATTTTATCTCATATTCAATGTTAGGGTTTGTGATTGATAAATTTCGAGAATTGTAAATTAGGAATATATTTGTTGTTGATCGATGTTCGTAAGTTTTGTATATGTATGAAATGTTGAAGTTTAATATCGCTATCCTTTTAATGTAGCTATTATTTTAAATATTTGTGTTGTTAAATGTAATATGTATGAAATGTTGAAATTTGGGTACATAAAGTGTGTATATTCACCGTTACTCATCAATTATTGTTATATATTGTTATTAGAGAATATGAACGTCTCCAACTTCCCATTAGTGTGTCGTTTGGGGGGGGGGGGGGTAGTTGAGGAAGCACACAGAATATAATATGAAGGAGGCAGGAGACAAATTATTGTTGTTTGTCACGGCACATGTCTGCCAGAAATTATGCATAAATTATATGTAGCAGCATCCATTCCCCGGACCACGTCTTTGGAAGTCAAAGTTAAATATCCCCTTCACGGGAGGTCATACATGTTGATGCCACTTGATGATGAGGAAACCGTCATAGGAATATGGAACATTATTTTGAACCTTGGTATGCTGACAATGGAGATATGCATTGAAGAGGTGCAGTTAGACCTCGGTATATTTCTAGAACCATATGTCACACTGTTCATGCAACCACCTCCCAAAGTGAAGCCATTTAGAATATGGTGAATTGTAGAGGAGAATGATGCATCATTTTTGGATAGACATGACAATGATGATGACGATATAGGTGAACATATGAATGCTGATGAATGACAAATCAGATAAAGAAGATGGGGATATCGTCAGCGCAACTGCCCCATCAACTCACTTTACCATAATCTATGATCTTCGTTAGGATTCGATGATTCGTGAAGGAATTGTACATCTACAAATAGTTAACATGAGATGATGAATTCTGGGTTGGGCAACAATTTGATGACAATCAACAACCTATTAATATGGCGAGCTTATATTCTATCAAATGCAATCAGTTTTTTCGTGTTTTAGAGTCAGATAGGCACAAGTGGGTGGGAAAATGTAAGAGAAAAAAGGAGCGTGATTGCACTTGGCAAATACGGGCTACAAAGAAACATGCAGGCCTTGCGGTGTTTTCAGTTTGCGTTATGTTGGGCCTCATTGAGCCCATTGTATTGGCATTATTGATTCAGGTAATCATGTGCCTATTACTTCACAATTCATTGTTCGAGATGTAATTGACCTTCTTCACACTGATCTATCATTAAAAAATTGACACCATTATCGAGCCTCCACTTTATGACCAACCTCCACGACTATTTGGACCACATCATCGACAAGGCAAGGACCCTTTGAGGCGTATGTATGTTTTATAAGTCTATTCTCATTTGTTGTATGTTATGAAAATTTGCATTTCTTAAATTTGTATGAACATATACTACATGATTTGTCAGATAGCTATGTGGTTATCTTTCCCGCACATCTTCGAGTGCTCAACTGGGGTACTATAAGGATGTATTTCATCGCATGTCTAATGATCAAGAATGGTGTACATAATTTAATATTAAGTATCAAATGAATAACAATGGGAGTCAAACTTTTATTTCTTATATAACAGATTACATGGATGTCATATACACCCCGATGTTGGAGAAGTTGCCCTCGACAGGTCGAGAGCATTAATTATGATACACGACGAGCATATGTTCCATTGATATGTTTTGACATTGTTGAGCGTCATTTTCCAAACTGTGTATTGTGTCAGTTTGGCTATGAGCGGGTCATTCCATCATCTGTTGATAAGTACAGGGATCTTCATAAGCTCGTTAGGCATGGGAAGCCTACAGGATTGGCCACTAAGGCATGTTCGATACATTTCTATGTGGGAGAGGCGAGCGGAAATTGTTGTCACTGGGATGCCAACAATGCAACCATCAATTCCTTTGGACTACATGGGATGGTATTACACCATCACAGAGTTATTTGCTTCCCCTTCATTCAAGCTACCTACTCACAATTATCAACCTAGTTCGGTTGCACTGCACTTGATGGTAAGTGTGCTAGTAAAGTGGTTCATGTTCTGTATTTAATATTTTCCTATTATTTCAAAATAATTATAATTAATGTTCCACGTTTCATACACGGGCTTTGCATCATATCCATGAGCTAGTGACTACTATAATGAGTGAGCTCAATGACGTGGACACATACAATGAGGTTATGTCGGGCATTGCTTTGCTCTGTTTTACATATGACCTCCTCTTAATATTCTACGGTATCCACATCTACACCAGCATCATCCCAGCCGGTGAGCCGTGGCAGAGTTGTTCTTCAGCCACGTCAGCGGCGTGGACGTATGCGTCCACAACCACATCTGAATGATCAAGAGGATCATGAAGAGCATGAAGACTTGTAGCCTGTCTCCACTAAATATTATGTTAGGAAAATCATTATATTTATTTATGAGTGTCGCTAGTTTTGTCAATCTTGTGAAACACCATGCTTATTAATTACTCTCTGTGTCCCTTAAAATTCTTCTCAGATATCTTTTTGGGGTGTCCCAAAAAAATTATTCTCATTACCTTTTTTGAAAATTTTGTGTGGCTAATATTCATTTAGAATGTTACTTTTTATTACTCAATCACAACTATACATTTTCATTTTATTATCACTTTTTAAAACTCCGATCCAAGTCAAACTTGGAAGATTTTTATGGGAGAGAGGGAGTACTTAATCATTTGAGGATTCGGGTTGTTGCATACCATTATCTATAGTTCAATTATGTTTTCTTATTTGTGAAGATGTTTGATGGATATATTTGTGATCTTGTTACGACAGGTGTTGTTGCATGCTTTTGCTAGTGTCTATTTGATTGTGTATTGTATTTGAGTGTTGGGTTGCCTGGTGTGTTGTTGTGTTGGTGTGCAGGTGCAGATGCAAAGTCGCCATCCAGATTGGTAACTTATAAATCGCAATTTCATTTGATGGTTTTCCCTAACCATGGTCAAATCAGTAGTTTATGCGTAAATACTTTTAAGCCGACTCTATTTAAGTAAATACTACATATTATTTTTCAGCATCATTTTAGTAATTATTTTCAGCGACTATTGAGTTTTTACATAATTCTTTTTTTTTGGCAAAAGTTTTGATGGCCCCGGATAGAGGTAAAAGTCTAGAGGGGGGTGAATAGATTTTAAAGCTTTTTCAACTTTAAAAACTTTTCCCTTCTAGATGAGTTGATCTAAAATCTTTTGGGAGATTTATAGATGCACAGCGGAAGTCTTTAACCTCTAGATGTTTAATGTATGACACTTTTCTAACTTGGGTAATATTTGGACTTTATATAGTGAGCAGTTGGCTTGGCAGTTGACTGGAAGGCAGGGAACTGCTGAGGCAACTGCTAGTCAAATAATGAGTGTATGGTGAAAGTGCAAGCAGAATCTTTCTCAGAATGAAAAGGGCTTTCTGATGATGTAATGAGATGGATTGATAATCAACCTTAATGAGAGCAGTGGTCTCAGAGCAGTTGGGTAGTTACCAGAGAACTGCTGAGGTACCTGTTTAAGTGAAAATGAAGGTATGGGAAGACTGATTATATAATATTGCTCAGGGTGATGAGGGCTTTCTGAATATGTGCTTTAGTACAAGTAAATGGGAGTTTTACTGGAGCAGTGGTCTCAGCAGTTAGGTGGCAATAAAGGAACTGCTGAGCCACCTGCTGGGTTACAGCTTGAGTTTCGGAGATTAGGTTGAGCAGACCCCTTGGTGATAGTGTTGTGAAGGTCTGGTGAAGTTGAGATGTTCAAAGGAAATAATTTTGTTGGGTAGTCACCAGGGGACTGTTGAGGCAACTGCTATGCTTTAAGATGATATCCTGAGATTTGGTAGAACAGACCTTTTAGTGGTGATATTGCAAGACTCATGTGGAAAGATTGTCTCAAAGAAAGTGAGTTATTAAGCAGTAGGATAAGCAGTATGGTCAATTAAGACTTACTGCTCAGGATGCTGCTGGCAAACTACAATCTTTTTGTGAGAGGTGTTGGGTGTGTGCTTTGTTGACTGAAAGTAAATCAACACATGGTATATCTTGGTTCAGAGGTGGTGTAATCCTCCTACGTCCAGTCCCACCCTCTTTCAGATGGATTTCCACTAAAGTATTAAGCCCAATACATTTAGTGCCAATCTAGCCTTTACAACACTTAGGCCTAGATTGAAGGTGTTTCACAACGAGTATAACACCACTCAAAGTTACTCAATCCTTAGACTTTTCTCAAATGATCCAGTAGGGATCAAAGGGTACTCTATCTATCTAACCACACTTTAGGATCCGAACAACTGTTTCCTAAGTGTTTACAGCAATTTGTGATTTGTTACAAGAAAATTCTAACCTCTAACTAGGAACTAAACTTCTAGGATTTATCAATGATACTTGTAACTTTGAAGTTTAGTGAAGCATGAGTCCAAGCAGAGAGTAAAGTATAGTTTCGCACTTTCTCTTTTGCTAGATATCTCATGAATGCTCAATGGTAGTATTTCTCTACTTTGAATGCTCAAAGCTTGGTTAGAAACTTTCGTTTCAGCCTATATTTATAGGCTACTCCAATGGATTAATCTCATCCGTTGGTTAGGATGGATTAATCTTGTGCGTTGAAGGTCTACCAATGACCAATATGTACTTTTGTCTTCTTGTGCAAGAGCTTTTAATGAGCTTGCTTTCTTGTCTTGAATGATTGAGTTGCGGCATGGGTGTGCGTCCAGTGTAGGTTCGTGTACTTGATGAGTATTAAATATTGGTCAAGTTTTGTCTCCAATCATTGTGTATGATTTTCGTGTACAAGCTTTAATGTGTGACTTCATTAATTTTTGTGTACAAATAAAATTATACTGGTAGGATTTAAATAACCTATTTAAGGTAAATAACAATTACCTTATTGCATTTTAACTTCCCAGAATAATTTTATTAGTCTAAAAAATTGTACATTTATTTTGTTACTTTTGAACACTAATACGCAAATAAATAAGACACAATGTTGCGGAAAACACAATTAAGACACAATTAAAGGCTACCAAATGGGCTTTAAAAAATGGAACACAAACAGCTTTGGTGACATTTTTTCAGAACTTAAAACGGCGGAAAACAAGGCCAGGTTGCGGAAGACGTCTACATCAACCAACCCACTCCAGAGGCAAGATCTACATGGGCCGAGGCTCAGGCCCTATTCTTACTAAAGCTTAGGCAAGAGGAAATCTACTCGAAATAGAGGGCTAACATTAAATGGTTATCTGAAGGGGATGCAAACACAAATTTCTACCACAATTTTGTTAAACACAGACATGGGAGGTAGAGGATACTATCCATCACGGATGAGGATGTTAACACACTGCACGAGCCTAGTTCTATAGCCAACACTGCTGTAATCCACTTTTGCAACCTATACACCAATCCCCTAAACAAGCAAGGTGATACGGAACCACTGTTGGGTTACCTCTCCCCGGTCATTACACTCGAAGAGAACTATTTCTTAACTAAAATTCCTCTAATTAAGGAAATTAAGGAAACAGTGTGGTCTTTAAACAAAGACAGTTGCCCAGGTCCGGATGGCTTCAATGGAGAATTTTTAAGACAAACCTGGGATATTATTAAACATGACCTACATTCAGCTGTTGCAGATTTCTTTCTCGGTAACCAAATGCCTACGGCCCTAACATGATCAACCATCACCCTAATCCCCAAAGTTCACAACCCCCAAAGCTTCTCACAATTTACGCCGATCAACCTAACCAACTTTGTCAACAAGGTTTGCACAAAATTTTTGGCAAATAGGTTAAGGCCACTGCTACCTAAAATCATTTCTAAAGAACAGATCGGCTTTATGGAAGGGGAGGACATTCATAATCACATCCTCATGGCCTCTGAGGTCCTCCACCACCTGGACAACAAGGTCCGGGGGAGGGGGGGCATTGCCATCAAACTGGACCTAGCCCAAGCCTTTGACAGAGTGTCGTGGGAATTCATGGAGGCTATTTTACATCAATTGGGCTTTGACAAACTGGTAGTCCAGCTTATCATCACCAACCTAGCCTCGAATCACATATCAGTCCTGCTAAATGGGCAGCCCCATGGCTATTTGCGGCCATAGAGGGGGTCAAGCAAGGAGATCCCCTATCCCCGTACCTGTTTCTACTAGTTATTGAATGCTTTACAAGAGGATTATAGGGGCTGATCACAAATAAAAAAAATTGCCCTATCTAATTGGTGGTCTGCCGTGCCCGGTCTCACAGCTGGGTTATGCAGATGATATTCTACTCTTCCTCAATGGTTCAACTTCATCACTTCGAAGCCTTAAAAACTTCCTGGATCTCTTCACTGATGCAACTGGGCAGGTCATCAACCTCGACAAAAGCACCATTTTAACCAGTAAGACTATGCCAGTTACAACAAAGAATAAAATGGAAGAGGTTACTCGAATGAGTACTTCTACTCTACCAATGACTTACCTTGGTGTAGTACTTCATAAAGGAATCACAAGAGTGGAGCACTCTATGAAGCTAATCAAAACTTTCGAATCAAGACTTCATACCTGGAATAAAAAGCAACTGAGTCAAAGTTGGCGTTTGATTCTTATCAAACACGTTCTATCCTCCATTCCTATGCATCACCTTGCAATTAAAAAATTTCCAGCCAAAGTCATAAAAATGCTACACACATTAATGGCTAATTTTTTCTGGGGCACTACGGGTAATAAACCTAAGTACCATTGGAAATCCTGGAAATTCATATGCAGCCCAGGTCCAGAGGGTGGGTTAGGCATCAGATCTATTTATGACATACAGCAGGCTATGCAACTAAAAACATGGTGGACTTTCTTTGAAAAAAAGTGCATCTAGGCGAATTACATGCACTCCAGGTACCACAGACTTGGATCCATGCAATCCTATCAAAAAGACTCATGTGTATGGAAACAACTTTGTATCACAGCCAGAAAATACTCCCAAGCTATCAACCAAGGTGTAAACCCTATTGTTTGGACCCCTGAAAAAGATGGACATTTCACCCTCACCAGCGCCTATCATCTAACCCGCAAGAAAAAACCAACCACCTATAGCCTCACCCAAACTTCGTCACCCCTACTCCCTCTCAAAATCCAAATCTTCATTTGGAAATTACTAAACCTCTCCATACCATTCCCAGACAACCTAAAACGCTTCCAAATACAATCTGCCACTAGATGTACCTTCTGCCTAAACAACCAAGACACCCAAAACCACTCCCTTTTCAGTTGTCCTAACATAAAGCCCATTTGGGATTACTTTTCTTCTATTTTGCACTTTAGGAAAATAGCACACCAGGACCTACGACAGACCCTATTCCTTTGGTGGATGGGGGGTAAATCTGGAAACACAAAGAACATATTGAGGCAGGCTATGCTCGACATCATTCTTTGGCACATCTGGAAAGCTTATAATTCGTGCATATGGGATAATAAGGTTTTCTCAAAAAACCTAACTATCCGAGACATCAAAGACTTCACCCGTAAATGGTTGTACATCAACAAACACAGAAAACACATTAAATTTAACGAAGAGCTTTACACAGATGGGATCATGCCTATGCTACACAAAGGAAATCCAGATACTCAGAGACATAGGTGGAACTCAGAATTACCAATTGGCCTCTCTCTGAACACCGACGCCTCATTTCTGTGGACTTCAAGCAGCGGAGGAGCAATTCTCAGGGATTCAACTGGCCA